AAAAAAAATCAGAATCTAAAATATCTGGATATTCAACAAGATTTGCAAATCTGAAGTGGAAATTGCAAATGATGCTTGGATAAACTGGGTGGAGTTGATAGCCTACCATCAAAACAGAATTAGAACTTTTAAAAACACTATAAAATTTCAAACAATTTAAATATTTAATAATAAACAATTAATAAATCACAATAGATTACTGACATGTGTAGCAATATGAGGATGAAAAATTAATTTGATAAAATTTACCTATGCTCATTTCAGTTTTAATGTAGAATCTCAATATGAGGATGAAAAATTAACTTGATAATTAAGTTCACCTGAGCTCATTTCAGTTTTAATGTGGAATCTCATAGAGACGGAACTTGCTTGACTCGTTGCCAGTGAATGTCACTCTACTCGGTTGACCGGTGTTGTCGACTTGAAATTTTATATTTCCATCAAGAACTTCAACTAAGCCGTGCACGAAGTATCCAACGTCGTTACCGGCACTGTCAACCAGTGTGAATGTGACTATTTTCTTGAAAAAGAAAGATCTGAAGCTAGCCATGGCCATGTCTTCATTTTTTTCAGCCCCAACCCTGTAAGAGACCAAACAACTCGAAGTTTGATAAAAAAGAAAACAAAAAGAACAATAATTTTTTTTTCTTACAAGGATTAAATGTTTCATGGATCAACAGCAACACTTTGAAGACATTTGCCGACGAACGGAAATATGTTCCTTTATTAAGCTTTGTGGCTTTTCCGTGCCGATTCCACACATGATGCATTTGCTTAAGAGAGCTAAAAATTGCGTTTTCTCCATCGTGGATAATCATACTCGGAAATGCAACAATGCAATCGATTAAGTCATCCACGCTCAACCCTTCCTCCTCAAGTTCATCGAGGAAATCAACAATATCCGCATATTTAGCAAAGTCTATGCAATATTTTGCTCGAATGCCTGTAGCCCTCAAACCATGAGATCCTGTGAAATTTGAAAGATTCTCAGCATACATCAGAGGTGACTTCGGTGTCTTCGGTCTCTGTAGCCTATTATATCGATTTCTTCCTATAGCAGTGCCCAAATGTTGGAGCAAAACTCCAACTCGGGACGAGTGGAGGGGGAGATGGTACCTAGGGATGAAAGCGGGAACAGGAAAATCCCGTACTGACCGATGTCGTGTCCCGAATATACCGATCGTATTCCGTTTTGGCAGGAAAAAATAAGAAACGGGAACAGGAAAAAAAATGGGAACAGGAATGGGAACGAATTCGGGAAGGGGTGTTTCCCGACCGTATTCACGGATCCCGTATTTGGGCGGGAAAATTACCGCGGTATTCCCGTATTACAGTGGCTAAACGGCCCAAACCTCGTATCTAGCCCAGCGACCCATTCAGCCAAAGTCCGTTCCTAACTCCCCCACCCCCACATCCTGCACGGCCCAACACGACAAACCAGTTAAAAGATGAAATTGAAACCCCTAGCAGCCACCAGTCCACCACGAGTTGCAGCCCGTCCGTGGTTCGTCGTGAACTGCCACAACGCCTCCCGTCCTCCCGTCCGCCCCTACCATGTTGGATGTTGCTGCTGTTAATGTTATATGTTGCCATGTTGGATGTTATATTAGAACTTGGTGTTCGCATAGCTGAAATTATCTTTTCGTGCTTAATGTTTGAAGTTGTTACATGTATTATACCATATAGTGTTTCCGATTCCCGACCGTAATCGGCTAGTTTCCGATCGAACTCTTTCGTTCCCGATATCCCGTAATATCGATTTTGTTTTCCCGTCCGGCTCAACCGTTTCCGATCCCGTTCCCGATAAAAAAATACAGGAAAAGAAATGGTTTTGGGATTTTTCCGATCGTTCCCGACTGTTTTCATCCCTATACTCTTTCAAGCACAAGAGGAACAAATCCCATAAGAAATTTTGAATGATGGCTTTAAATATTGGCAAGAAAATTACAAATTCTTTTAAAATGGTCGTCCCGTCATACTATTTGAACAAAAATATTTATACCATCAAAATATCATACTTCTGTTTATATTATTTATTCGAAATATGACATTTTTGAATGAAAGTATGCGTGATTATTAAAAAAGTGTATTCACATAATGGTTAGGCCGGCCTAATTCAAGACCAACTTAAAGAAAATACTTATACATAAACCTTGTTCTTGTAATTGAGTGCTGTTATGAGGTAATAATGAAAAAAAAAAAAATTAAAGGAAAATAAATATAATAAGCTGCATGAATATATTACCTTCAAAAAAATGTTTCTGTAAATTAGTTGTTTCTGTCTTATTTTTTGAGTCTATATATAAAAAAAAAAGTAAATAGTTGTGAAATATTTAAAGAATTCAATGGAGGACAATTAACAAAGGTTATTGAAGCTACTACTTTTAAGCTGAGTCATACATTAAAAATAAAAAATAAAAATAAAAAAATTCATATCCTATGTTATTTCCACATATTTTTTCTTGAACATGACTGTAAAAAATAACAATTACAAATATTAGATCTTCATTAAAGTAGACAAATATTGGTGAATGTCAATTCAAAATTCTATTAATGAAAAATTAAACAAATTCAATTTTCTATCAAAATGGATCATGTAATGTGACTACTATTGATTAATATTTAATAGCATCTATGTGTAGATAAGCCCTATATTTCTAGTAAGTTCCAAGTATTAAGGCAATACATATGAACTGGACAAAGTCATTATAAACCTAGACTGCAATTATGAACTGGTTCTTTAGGGGAAAAATAATTGTTACATCACTTGCATAATTGTGTAAACGAGCTCCAACTCGAGGTCAATTTGTTTATCAATATTAACAATTCGAGCTACAGAAATTACATAAAAAAAATATATATTTTTTAGCCTTAGCAAGTCGAATCGAGCTCTCGGTATGTTTGACAGCTTTGCTCGTAAAATTTCATTGAACAATATATTTTTTAGCCTTAGCAAGTCGAATCAAGTCTCGGTTTGTTTGACAGCTTTGCTCAGTAAAACTTCAATAAGACAAAAAAAATGATAAAGATAATTTAATAAAAATTCAAAACTAATTTCTATCAAATTATTGCATATTTTTAAATAGTCTGATATATATGATAAAAAA